TTGCCAGAGAAGCACTTATTCTGCTGAGTCGTCTCCGCAGCCTGGACAGTTTCAATAATTAAGACACTGCATACATTCTTCCTTGTGGTTAATAGCTGCACAAGATGTGGACATGATACTCAATTTATAAACACTAGTAGACCAAATCCCTCTATTCATTAAAAGAATGTTACCGAGTGTGTGGGAAAGCTTCCTGCTACCCTGCTCGGGTGGGACCAGTCGCAACCCAGGTGCAGCGTTGGCCAGTTACTCTCCCACCCCCTTGGAACACCCCCCACCACTCCACAGCAACTTTCACACGCCACCCACAGAGTAGGAATTTCTGCCGCTTTCTGGGAACCCCCAGACCCACTCATAGCCCAGGTCCGGTGAGTGTGTGGGAGAGCTTTCTGCTACCCTGCGCCGGTGGAACCAGTGCCAGCCGGGCGCAGCGTGGGACAGACCCTCTCCCACCACCTTGGGATGCCCCCACCACTCTGAAACACCTCGCCCACCCCACCCGCTGAGTAGGAATTACTACCACGTTCTGGGAACCCCCAGACCCAGGCCTAGTCCAGACCCTGTGAGTATAAGGGACAGCTTCCTCTCCACCCTACTCCACCTTGGCCCGTCCAGGCACAATTCAGGCCTAGCATACAAGCCTTTGGTGTAACCCTGCAGCTGCAATCCCTGCAGAGAGTGTAGAGGATAGATCCAACCAGCTAGTCCAGGAGCAGAACATCTTGCCACAGGGGCACAACATATTCACCCTCAAGGGCAGCAGCGGGAAGGAGCTGAGCACAGCAGCCAGACCTAAGCCAGACTAGGCTGGATAAGTCCAAATTTGTAGAGCTGCACCTGAACTTCAGTATGTGTGAAGGTTATAACTACAGCAAAGATCTACAACAAAGGTCAGAAGACAGTGCTACACAAAATGACGAGAAGGAACAAAATGCAACCTCAGAACCCAAGCCCGCCCATAACAAGTGCAGAGAACATGAACACAGAACAAATTAGAAATCACACAGATGAAGGCAATGAATCAAAGCCTTCTGAAATAAAGAAACAGGAGCAGAAAGGTATAGAGGACATAAGATATGAAATAAAAAAAGAGATCCTTGATTAATAACATCTGCACTAAAGAATCAAATTCAGAAACATATGGAGGAAACCCAGTGCCAACCCAGAACAAGTGTGGAGGACACTAGCTCAGCTCAACTGCATGGATTGATAGTGTCGATAGTAAATAAGCACCAGCAAAAAGATATAGTGGAAATCAGAGTGCAATTCTTTTCTGAAATAAAAAAAGAACTCTCAGAACTCATAGCATCTGAAATAAAGAAGAAACCACAGAAACATAGGGAGGAAACCCAATCTGAAAAAAAAACAGTGCAGTAAAAGAATTTATAACTGCTTCTATAGAAGATATTGATAAAAAAAAAGAGGAGATTAGAAAAATGACGGACTCCTTGAATGAGCAATATAGGAAAACAATAGATCTCATGTAGCACAGTCAACGAGATTAAACAGGAAATTAAAACAGGAAATTAAAATCTGAATCACAAGCTTGCAAAACCGTTTAAGTGAAGGTGAAGACAGGGTTTTAGATCTTGAAGATGCTGGTGCAGCTACTGAAAAGATAAGAAAGGATCTCCTTAAAACAACGATGATGCAGGAAAGAATAATCCATCACCTGCAATATGATGCAAAGATGAACAATGTGAGAAAAATAAGCATCAATGAGAAAGAAGGAGTCGATAAAAATGACATTAAAAAATATGGGTAGAAGTAATAGCAGAAAATTTCCCAAATATGAGGAAACAATCTGACATTCAGGTACCTGAAGCATACAGAACACCAAGGAACCTCAACCCTATGAAAAACACACCAAGACATGTAATAGTCAAGATCCCAGAAATTCAGCACAAGAATAATCTACTGAAAGCCACTAGAGAAAAGAAGCAGATCATATTCAAAGCAAAAC